TTCGTAAATAGTGTAAATGCTCGCGTACAAGTGCACGCGGGGCTATCATTATGGACGTTTAGATGTATGTCTACCGTACAATCAAATGCATAAAGGCATTTCGCCGCCGCGGTATTGCTATCTAAAACCGACGGTTGCCGGCTGTCAGGTGAATGTAGGTACTCAATAAACTTAATTAATTCATTAAATCGCCTTTAACATTAAATTATATGTTGCTCTTGAAAAAAAACAGGTCGATTATATACATCAAGAGATCGCAATTATACTAATTGAACAGAGAGAGAATGATGTTCTAGAATTTATATCTCATTGTCATTAAACTCAATTAATTTAACGTTGGCATTAACGCTAGTTACTCGAATTTGTAATATCAAAATTGCAGACAGACAGTGAATCAAATATAGAAATTTGGTCGGGTCAGCAGACAGCTTGGGGCAACCTGTACAGGAAGTACCTAATCGATCTGCGCAACAATACAGTCATTTTTAACGATCTCTAATTTCATCGATCATCCATCATAGAAACATCATACAATCCTTTCCCAAACATATCCGACGTTCAGGTCGGGGCAACCCTTCGTGCGAATCAAGCGTGGCCGACGGAATTACGGATTGATCGACATAGGAGGAAGCGATTCGACTTTAGGCCGCATAGGAATCTAGAACGAGAACGTCCTGCATCATTCGACGCGCACGTCCGTAATCGACGGCGATACGCGGCGGGTATTAGCGCCTATTAATGATTAATTGACCGGTGCCAAGAGGCCCCGCTTCACGTGTGTGACGGTGCTACACGCCAGTGCTAGCCAGCGAGAATGGCGGGTCGACCCGGGTCAGATCATGCCTCGCGCCGAATCGTTAGAAAGTCCGCGCTTTGGGTCTCGCCGCGCCGCGCCGCGCCGCTGCGTAGCACGCTCCGAGTTAAGGAGAGATATCCATCCATCGGCTCGTCCCGATATTGCGAAGTGCAGCCCGCGTTGTTAGCGCGAGCGAACGATGAAAAGGATTCGCCGTAGGCAGGACAGAAAACTTTTGCGCAATATCTCAGGTCTCAGAAGGACCCGGTCCCCCGATATCTTCAAAGTTGAGCGCAAATACGAGCGTGATTCTAAATTTTCCTCCTGTCAATAAGCGGCTCGTGGCGGTACACGATTTATCATGATTTATCGGGCACAATTTATCCGTGATGGGAGAAACGTGATAATTCTTAAACGGTCGGGAACTGTAAAATGTACGATTTAACGCGACGGCGAACGGTTAACAGCTCGACTCGAACGAGATGTCGATCGAGCATAAATAGAAAAGGCGAATAGTCGTTCAAAAGCGTCTTCGCGGTCAATCTCCATCTCGTCTGGTAGATAGAAATCGATCCGAAACGCTGGTTAAAGCGTAATCGGACGCTAGTTCCGAACGATCGATGAAACGCGAGTGACGAACAGACGTGATGATGGAGAAACTCGCGTAAGGACAAGTATATGCGTAGGACGCGAGAATACAAGATCCTTCATGAGCGCGGAAGACGTACGGGCCACATTCATGATTCTTTTAACGATCTTGGCACATGGGCACGCTTACGTGTGCAGCACAGTTGCTTTAACCCTCTCACCCTGAATTATTCGAACCTGTTTCGAGTCCTACGACCGTTTTGTATCGCACGACGTATTCCCTGTTACCACAAGTTGCATACCCATCAGCTTCTCGCAATCGGCGACTCGTAATTCTAAACGGGTACAATTACTTTCATTCCTCACGTTTGCGTAATGCATGATACTCTGTATAGTGTATGTCATCGAAATCTTCACCGACATTCTACGACGATAGAAGATGATTAAGTAATAAAATTGCAGAGATAATATAGGGTTTCTCAAATCTGACTAAAAGCTAATTAAATATAAATGGACAGTTATGTGTATACAAATTTTTTTTAATAAGTTCACGATTTTATAATGAACATAATATCGCTAGACCGATTAATAAGGTAAAATTGGTTGCGCTATTAGTAATGTAATTGCGTGTAATTGCCTGAGCAAGTCTAACTATATTTGTATGTCTAACTGTATTCATTATAATTATTATCAGAGAATAGGTCAATAGCTTCCAACTTCTCTTGTCATGAAAATAAATAATCAATTTACTAAGTATCAATCGAATATATAAAGACTTGCGGCAATAATTACTTTCGTTTTTCGAGATAGTTTCGCACTGTTGGCTCGAACGAAAGTGAATGCAGTAATATTGCAGGTATGGATACCGGTCTAAGGATTGCCGCCATAATTCCAGCTGATCTATGAAAGGATCGCTCGCGCCGTTGATCTGTTCGCGGTATCCTCCGCGAGATTAGAATCTCGATGCCATAATTCTAAGAGGATTCATCTGCGTCGCGGTGCCATATTTGCCGAGCCGAGCAACGAGATCGAGAGCTCGTCGTAGTCGAATTCACCGCGGTAACTCGATAAACGAATCGAACGGCACGTGCACGAGATGTTCCATGACGTATAAATGACGATCGCGGGATCGTTCGTGCGCAGAAAATATTACGGCTCCGCTTTATAAACCTTAAGCGATTTGTTTAGGTTTCACCTTTATACGTTTTAATGACTCGATGTTGCGTATTCGCGTGATCGTTACAGTCGCATTCATTGGCGGCTGCGAAGAGAAGATCAAAGATCTGTTCGTTGCCCGCGCGTTAAATCGGACATTTATAATCGAACAGACGTATGAATTGCTGCTTTAATTATCACTATCATATAATGTATAAAAATCTACATAATTAATTCTACATTACAAAACAAATGTTTTTACATATCAATTTTACTGAATTCACAAGAGTCACATGTGAACATTTGTCAGAGATTATTCCGCGTTCACGTTTACTATAACGAGCGAGGACCTGGCCGGTACCAGGGTTCCTCTCGAACGTTGATTCTCTCGAGAAGTGTAGCGGGGTCCCTGGAGGCATGTCAGTTTCGATTATTCTCGGCTATCGTTAGGCCCCGTTGAGCGCGTGCTCGCTCGCGCGAACCCAGTCGCGGTCCTCGAAACGTCAGGCTGTCGGGGCCGTAAATTTTTTCGCAGGCGCCCACCTCTCGTCATGCATATTCATGAATACTCGAATGTAATCGAACGCCGTGCGCGAGTCGGCGTAAGAAAGAGACGGCGGGGTCCTCAAGCGCTTCGATCAGCCGTCGACTCGATTCAAGAATGACGAGGGCCAACCACGAGAGCGTATACAGATAAGAGCGGCTCAAGGACCCGCTGCCCCTCGTCGTGGCGAGCCTCGCCGTGGAATACCGAGGGACGGCCGTGCACTTTATGCGAACCCCCGAGACGACACACGCACGACAACGATTCTTATCTCGCGAAGGATACCGCGCGCCACGTAAAAAAAAAAGTGCGATACGAGCGCGGTGATGGCGTTCCCGAAACGGCTTATGGCTATCGTGACGCGATCGAATTTGGTTTCAGACAACTTTGATACCGATATCGGATACCGGCGGATCTCCTCGTTAAGGTAAGTATAAGTATATCGATGTCCCGTGCGGTCATCAAGCACCGATGTAAAAACTTATGAAAAGCTCGTTATCGACGTTACATCCATCTTAATTATCGCGGGATAATCATTAGGGTTCGCGAGAGAACCTCGCCGCTGCGACGAGTCTTTATTTTTCGTTGCGAAATAACTTCCCAAAGTGAAGTGAGAGAAGAAATTGCGACTCGTGACACGGATGAGGAACTTTTCTACCGCGGTGGAGTCATGGTTCTTGCTCTCTGTCAGGTGTGAGTGAACGATGTGACAGCCGGAGGAATAACTTCTGTCACGAAGCCGGTGAGGAGTGGCGCGGTGTTCGAGAGCTCCGTTCCGTGACATCGCTCCGATCCACGAAGTGGAAGATCGTATCGTGTACGCGCGAGATAAGCGTGTCGGGTTATCTGTAATTAATCAATTTGCGTCTACCAGGCGGCAGCCCGGTAATTACGGGCTCGCCGTTTTATCGCGAATTATGAAACCATTCATCGCGCGATTCCCGACGAGCGCGAGCGAGGACAGAGGGGGGGCCACCCATGGAAAGTAGACCGCGCCCCAGTTCTACGACGAAAGGTCGTTACTGCCTTCTCAGCAAAATGCCGCGCTTCTAAACGGAGGGAAATGAGGGGAAACGTTTAATGCCGAATGGGACGGATGAGTGGATAATTTCAGTGGACACTCTCGAAAACCGACGGTCACGCCCGCGACTTCGCGGAGATAGCGAATGTTAAGTGGTCCGTAAAAACTATTATTGCGAGATTATGTGCACGAGCGTATTTCGCCTCGAGACAACAAAGAAAGAAAAAAAATCAAGGAGGAGAGAGAGAAAAAGAAAGACAGACAGAGAGAGGAAGAGAACGAGAAGAAGGAAGGGAGGAGAAAGTATAGATATTACAAATTAGAGAGGGGTGGAGGATCGACGCTAACTTCGAGGGGTCATTATAGAACTTTCCTAGCTAGCGCACCGTCTCTCCCTACTCACTAATGCCAGACTGTCCGGATTGACTGATGCCAGGTCATTCAAAGCCTTCTAGATCGCCTCGTTGCCTCACTAACATAGAAGTCGGGAAGATATTGCGCGATGGATGACAGCGTGCACCATTATAGAGTAGGCTTTCAAAAGCCATTAAAAATAGCGACTACGTTCAACACGATTCATACAACAATCCAACCAAATCGAGAAATCGATTTTTTTTTTACTTTAATGAATAAGTATCGTTGTATATGGTCACTCCTTTCATTTTTCTAAATCTATAAAATATGTTTCAAATAAGAAACGTTTCGCGGAGAAATCTGTAGAAAAATACTTCTTTCAATGATAATAGAAAATTGTTGTGCAATCTTGCGCCTTAATAAAAGCATTAAAATTCACTCGACGCGCTTGATCGAGTGCACGAACAATGACGTAAATGCATCGCCTGCGATTTTTCCTCGCGGAAAACCGCGTCGCGGTAAGACAAATCTCTTTGACTCACCTGTGCGTACTCGGCGCAGATGTCAATCGACGAAACGTAATTGACGACGTCCTCGATGGTCCAACGATTCACAGCTTGCCCGTCGCCGCAAGGTATGTGGCCATAGAGAGTCGGACACCTGACGGGCGGAGGTGTGGTTGGTCTCGCGGTAGGTTTCGGCTTGGGGGACACGCTTTCGGATCTCCTTGTTTCCGGCCTTTGCCGCTTACGAGGTGCAAAGCCGCCGGGACTTGAAAGGTCCAAGGGACTCGTAACCCCCGCGTCTCTTTTGTTCGCGCCTATGTTTCAAAACAAAATGAAACGTTACTTAATCTTTCTCAAAATCGGTTAATAATACACCCCATAAACACACATAACAATATAACGCACAAAATGTCTTAAAAAACGCGTTTTTTTATCTGTGAATGCTTTGATCAATCCAGCCTGATTTTTTTTTCCAATAAAGATAAAAATACCGAGACATTAATTTAATATTAATCCAATATTAAACGATTAAAAATTAAAGAAATGGAAAAAATGCAAAGCCTACAATTCGCAAGTAAAAGATAATTATGATTTCTTTTTTCCATTATAATAATATCATTAATATCTATCATTTCTTGCCCGTACGGAAATGTGTGTAACTTCTTATGATACTTGCCTTTGAGATATGTTTCCAATTCTGCAGCGCTTTGAGCCGCATTGGCAGTTCGCACCATGTGCAAAAGAGCCTGGGTGGACGACATATCGATCATAGGCGGAAACACGGGGTTGCCGAAGAGGCTATCCTGCTTCTGCTCCTTCGGATCTTTGTTCGAGAGCGGTGAGGTCGTCGGGACATTCGATGGTTGCGGAGCCCCTAACGGCGCCATCAAACCAACGAACGGCGTCGCTGCAGCCTTGAAGGCCGGAAACCTCGGGTCTAAACCTGGAGGGTAACCGTTTCTTGGCGTGCTAAAGTAACTGAAATGATCAATCGTCCTTGATCATTAAGTTCCTGTTATGTATATAAAGAAAATACATATATAGCTGCTATCACTGTCGCACGTAGACATTTTTTCAAACAGGCTCGAGTGTATTTTTCTCATCTTTCATCAAATGTAGAAAATGCTACTGATACAATAAGACTACTTATTATTACTCGTAATAAAGATATAAATGATGTTATTTGTAAATTATGATTTCTAATATCTTAAAGAGACTCGAAGAGAAGCAAGAAGATAGTTACCTCTTCTATTTTCAAATTCAACGGATCATCAAGACGCCGACTAAATTAGCAGGGCGCAAACAGACACGTAGTGAATTAAAGAATCGAACCTTTTTCAAATACCAAAGGTCGCATTGCTAGAATCTGTGTTCAGCACTTAACTAAGCAATTAAGTAGTCCTTTGATCTGTTTCCAACCTATGTGCCAAAAGGTACAAACTTAATAGTCAACGTACGACGCGACAACCGGTTTCAAGCGAGAGTACGTTAAGTCCCTCGAGTACTCTCTGCGTTTTACGAATCTTAATCATACGAATCATCTATTTGCAGCCTTCAAAGTTTTAATTCTTTTACAACGTCTCGCAGTGTTCGTCAATCGACGAAAGTCAATATACGCATGTCACGTACCGACGAAAATATTCAAAGACGTTTGCAAAATTTTCTTTCCTTAATCATACAAGACATTAAAACAAATTTTGTGACGCAGACTCAATACCACAATAATGAAGCAGTATCTACACGTCAATTTCTAATTGGCACGTCAATGTACCATTTATTTGAAAATAAAGTCAAAAGTGATGTTAGTACTGTAACGTGTATCTTTCCTTTATGTTAATCCTGCAGCTCATTTATGGGAATTACAATTCTACTGCGAGTAATCAAAAGTGATCGACAAAGTGAGATGGACGTACTCGTTAGGGTTGGCGTTGTTGTATTTGGCAGCGAGACTCCTCATGAAATCACTATAGTTTCGTCCCATCATCTGTTCCATGTGCTTGAGATGATGGGGTGGTGGTGGACCCTCGGGTCCCCCCAAGGGCGTAGCATTTGGCGGCGTACCCGGATGACTCGACGAAGAAGGCGTCACGCTTCTCGACGACGTCGAGTTGTTGTCAGGTGTGAGTCGTTCTGTTTTAACCTGCAACGCGATAGGATTGCCCTTCTTTAAACGAGACCTCACTGCGCGCAACCGGATGCAATAACAAGAAGGAGAATGCGGAGCAATTAACCGGTCATAAAAAGAACGAGTATAAACGGAAGTATCAGTTAACAAGCGGGAGCGGGTGCAATAGAAGTATATTTAACGCTACTTCATTTAACGCTAGAAAGGATAAATTAATAATAGTTTCATGTGCAAGCTTTTTTCCATTAAGTGTAGGTACTCACTTAAAAAATTAAGTTGATATAATTTATTATTATTATAATTATAACGCTATTTAAAATATAGTCACAAAAACATTCTGTTATCTTTTATCATAAAGAGTATCCCGTTTCAATTTTTATTAATTTTCTATTCAAACTTTAAATTCTGAAATAATCATTTTAAGCGAGGTTAATAATATTTGAAAATGTTAAGTGTCTTCGCGTGTAAAGTTGTCATCGGGACGTCTGCAGATTGCTCATTTCATCTTATCCACGGTAACAATAATTTTACTATCTTTATTACCGCTGTGCTTTATGTTTGAATGTTGAAGGCCGCAGTACAGAAACAATGCATCTTTAAAAGAAAAAAATTGTTTTAGCCTCTCATCAACATCATTCTCCACTTGAAGCTAAAAAGATTGTTTTATTATGTTTAAAAAGATGCATTTAGAATACTCTAATAATTGATTAATCGAAAACTAGCACAAGTGAATATTTTCGTACAATTAGTTACACACGCAGCAAATATTAATTACAAACAATTAAAAATGAAACATGACACTGAACAATGAGACAATGAAACAATGTAAATAATTATCAATGATGATTATTATTCTAATCCTTGTGATAGGCTAAGAGGCCATGAGGATTATATCATCAATTACATTATCATACGTTCGATTTATTGCCAGGCTCGACTATTTAACATTAATAAGCGAGTCTCGTTCGTATACATGAAAAAAATTGTCCTCCGCAAAACAGATATCAACGAACCACGCCTTCGACTGTGAGGAACACTTATCGGCAGCTGCGCACGATATGTCTCGGGCGAGATCCGTGGCGGCAGGAAATATCCCGGGTGCATTAATTCCCGGGAACAGATTGCATCTGAGATATGGTAATGAAGGCAACGCGTGGCGTAAGAGTTGACTCCTCTTCGTTCGCGGCGAGAGAGCGCGCCGTGACACTAAGAAGAACGAGAGTCGATTGGCGTAGAATAGGGTTCTCCCGAGAGCCGCAGTCCGGAGACCGCTGCAGCAGAGGCCACGGTAAATCTCTTTCTCGCCTCCAGACCTCTTCCTGACAAGGGACCGCTTCAGGCTCACGGCGCGGGCACGATCTCGTATATATACACCTACATTTCGAATAGGTCTCGCTCGACGCGACTGATACGAGCGACCAGGTCTCGATAGGGAAAATACACGAAGGCGTGACAACCGCGCGAGCAAGGGAGCTTCAAAATTAAACCAATCGTCTCTTTCAATGTAATTAGTCTTTACGCGATCGCAGCATGGCTGCATACGTCGTCAAATAAGATAGCAAGTAAATAATTAATGTATATTCACGCATAAATATTTTGCAGTCAAATAAAGTCCCAACGTTTTTTTTCTCTCACAATGTTATAAGAAAAGAGTATTTCAAAGCAAAAAAAATTGAATTACATAAAATGTATAATCTTTTCCTGAATAACTCTCAGCAAAAAAGACTAATCTTCTTCTACTTTTATTTATCGACTCTCTCAATTCGATTTCAGTAGATCTCGAAAGTTAATAAATCAGACTAAAGCTCGTAATACATACGGAGGATTAATTTCTTGAGTTACTACTATTCTTCCGAGACCTTCCTACTCGTACAACCCGCGTACCTGAGTCAAACTTCTTGCATGTCATAAACCGGCTATTCTTTTTACCGATGACGATCAATTTTTTATCATCGCAGCTCTAAGCATTGCTAAGCAGCCATCAAAAACTTCTCCTTTTTTTCTTTCTTTTTTTTTGGTCAAGTCGTTTACAGAAGCGTCCTGCAGGTCGACGAATGTCAACGGCGGGATGACACTGCGGCTTTCGACGGCGGTTGACATAGTTGCTGCATGGTTGGCTTTGAACGGGACTCTCCGTGTACACGTGTACGAGCTACCGCTCGAGCTACAGGCTACAGGAGCGATGGACTCTCTCGTCGAGGATATCTCCCGAGACCAGTGCACGTGTCCCGAAGTGGTACGCTCAAACACTCCACTTCACGGAAGAAGCCAAGCGGGTCTCTCTCTCTCGAAAAATTTGTACGACAAATCCCGCGTCCTCGCGGCAGCTCGCGTCCTTCTCAACGAAAGAAGGAAAAAAAAGGGGAAAAAGAATAAATAAAAATTCCGGACGACAGTCACGCTACGTCAATACAGTAAGGTAAGGCGAACGTCGTGTTTGCCTACGTGCGTAAAAGTTTCGTGTGCCGTGTCAAAATTTAATTCCGTCACATGGACTTTCTCGAAATCGGGTAATAATCAGAGGCAAAAGAGCGAGTTCGAAGTATAGGATATTAGAAGTGTTAATTACACAATTATAAAGAGGTTCTCCACTTACTTGGGTAGTGTCGAGACCATTCTGGTTCTGTCGCCTCCTACCCCGCGGAGGTCTGGGGGTTGCCGCACCAGACAGGTGAGCGCCCTGAGGGCTTCCCCCCCTGGCGTCGACCGCTGTGTTCGCTGCCAGGGTGGCCCCGTCGTTGTTTTCCGTGTGCGTACCTAAATCCGCCGCCTCTCCACGGTTGCTACCACGTGGTCCCGTGCCCGCGGACACGTTCTCACCTGACACCTCACCTGAAAACGAAGGGATATATCAAATTTCTGTCCGCTTCTCCAAAAGGTATTAAGAGCGCGCGAGTTTCTGGATCTTTTTGTCTCTAAAATATATTCCTTATCCTCGTTCGATCTTATCGAGTTATACGCACACAACGCGCAGGATTAAGCTACATATCTCCTGAGATACAAGACGTGATGACGATTTTAAAAGGCCATTAAGAGATTTCAAACGACCGAGCGACGATCCTGCCGGAATACATTCGACTCCAAATTCGGATATTCGCCGTATTTCAACCGCATTCGTCCCCTCGGGATGGTTCGAGTTTCGTAACGACGCGGCCGCACCGCGGCGGTCCTCCTCGCGCTTCGCGTCATAAAGCTTTCCTAACTTAACCGTCCTAACGTCGTCGCGCCGTGTAAACGGCCGTCTTTCGACACTGGGAATTTAGAATGAAATACATTAAGAGGAAGAGAGGGATAATCGTACAGGACGCGATTACACACGGTGGCGGCGCTTACCACTGGCACGGGAGAGATTTACGCTCAATAAATGGCCCTCGTCCCGGGCGCCATTATCTTCCGCCTTGATCAGAGACGCGCGTATCTAACCGAACGGCGACGAGGAGCGAAAGCGATCGAAAAGCAGCGTAAAGGCGCGGGCCGCGGCGAACAAGGAGAACCGACGGGAGAATCGAGGGGGTCACTGTCCACTCTCTGCCTAACATATCCAATAAATTCCTGTCATCGTTAAACGCCTGGAATTTTATGGAGGCAGTAACTCGTCCGCGTTGCCGAATTTACCGGCCGATACGATCGGCCGCGATTAATGCAGCGACAGTGCCGGAGCAACGGTGTCAGCAACGGTGCCGGAAGAGGTATGAGAACTTGTGTGTTTCATAGCTCATTTCGCACGATATTTTATGCATCGGTATATTTTCGTTGTAACGAATCTCGCCCTCGCGCGCGATTATAATTCCAACGCGACGTTTCGTCAGTCAACAATTATTCCTCGACAAATATTTTTCAAACGATTAATAACTTTCACCGTCTTTCACGGTGTACCGAGTGTATGAGAGACTTTTAGTTAACGATTTGCTTGTCAGAATTTTGTGTCCGGGCATTACCGAAGTATCCACAATAACGGAGAACAAGTGTTAATCATTCCCACATACAAATGTCCCCGCAGTAAAACCGAAGGCATCGGAAGTAAGCAAACGGACACTGCCGATCATTTTTATAATGCGTGGAGTTAGCACCTCCGACAGGCTCCGCGCTCGGCCCTCGGACTGCTATCGGGCTATATTCCTACAATCCGGTTGTGGAAGCGGCTCCGCGCGGCATCGAGCGGAATACAGGCCGAGGGTAGCGATCGTAAAAGCCACTTCTATGACACTCACTGCCAAATGTCTTCATTATTTCAAGTTAAAATATTTACAGCTGCCCATAAAAATTCCATTAGGCACCGTTTGCCAGTAGGAAAACCGTCGCCCTTCGAGAAGCGATAAAGCGTTCGAAGATGCTATCGAACGCGCACCTCGACCATAAATGACGTCCAAATAGTTATAAAATTGGAAAGTATGCGGGCAGTAAACATTGTACGCGTCACTTTGTGACGAATTGAGCCACTAACGAGAACGGTAAAGCGATAGGTACGTTAAGTGACACGTTCGGCGAGAGGTGTGTTTTCGGAATATATAACTTAATCAGTTTTAAATGAATTTCCATGACGTTGTCGAATCAATGATTTGTAAACTGTGATTTAGAGACTTTATAGTATCCAATTAATTATACCGTATACAACGAAGAGAACATAAAATACATGTTGATGAAAAGCGTAAACTAACCGTTAACTATCACTTAATAAAGTTGGTGAAATCATAACGTACGAGGAAACACAAATCTCAAATTCCTCGAATATAAATTTCTGTTTAATAGAAATAAGGAGTCGTGTATTGAGAATTGCTTCAACACTTATCTCTTGAACAGACGATTCTACAATCATCGCGTTTCGCGTAACAAGATTTTTTCCTCACATTTTCTCACGTTTTTTTGACGAGTTTTACGTTGGCGGTAGCGCTTCGATGGCACGTACGACAAACATCGTAACGACACTTCAGGAACTTTCAAGGCAGGAAGTCACTGTTTAAAGATCGTTCGCGTTTTATTGTTTAACTTCGGCTTGATGGCATTTACATAATCATGCAAAAATGATGTGCAGCTGCAGTCAGCTGCAGTCGCGAGATTAGTTAAAATCTGAAGTGAGAGACGGAGACAGACATTATAGAAGAGCATCTCTTCATTGTCACACGATTTTGTTTGACAATAAAGAAAATACAAATATTTTATAAAACAATATGATAAAATTAACAATGCAATGAGAATTTTCTGCAAAAATCCAAGTCAGATCATTAACTGGGTTATTTAAATTCTCAAATGCGAGTTCAGAAGACAAAGCTAAAAATTTTACAGCTGAATAGTTTGTAATAAATAATACGCCCTGAAAAGTTCGCCAGAAGACTTTGTTGCATGCGAATTAGGGAGGATTAGCAGCAGCGAGATACCTACGGTGAATACTGAGAACTGCGCAAAGTCCGAGTGTGAAATATCGTAACGACGTGTTAAAACGAACTAACGTGCAGCGCACGTATCCCCCGCGACAACACCCGCTCGGTGAAGCCCGCGGTTCGAGCTGTTGCATCGCCGGTACAACGAAAGTGCGAGAGACCTCCACCGCGACACTTGGATGTCCCGGTGACAAAGCGATAGATCAGTTCATAATCCAAAAGATTACAAACAAAATTTCCCTTTCTACACGTCATGTCAGTATTTTTCACTCAACGCGACGCACAATTAACAGGAAATAGAAAGTATAACGTGGAAAATGTATGTGGGAAAGAAAAGGAAGAAAGCGATGACAAGCCATTGCCTCGTCGCACAAAAACAGTAGATCGCCTCTGTGGTGATTTCATCCGATATATCGCGTATCTCCGAGACACGCGTGTAATTTACCGGTTTTAGCGCAGCTGCCTGGTTAACTATTTCGTTCCCGGGCGAGACAGGTTCCCCGCGAGAAAGAAAGCAGCCATCGGAAGACATCGAGATGGGACACCAGGAACTCATATAGTAATCGCGTACAGCATAGTCATAAATTATCCAGCGCGACCGCGACTAAAACGAATTGACCTTCGAGGTTGCGTACGAAGTGCCGCCGCGAGACGGAAATAAAGCCGCCGGGCCTCTCGCGCCGGGTCGCTGTTAATTATTCCTGCGTTAAGCCTTTAAGAAATTTCACCGAGCTGGGAATTTTTCCACGATCCCACCGGGCGAGATTAGAAGCGAACCGGGAAATTGCGTAAACGCGTCGCGCGACACGGGAATCGATCCAGCATCCATTTCCGGCATAGAAACGGAAAACGACAATACGACGCTTCCGTGCGACGCATTGTTCGTACGAGTGACCTAAAGATCCATCAGCGCGAGTTCTCATATATGTGAACGCGTGTGGTTTAACGCGTTTGATACGGCGAAGTCGAAATGCGAACGGAAAAACTGACTGGTGTATACTAAACTACACCGATAAGATCTAACGGATGAGAAATTGCTCTATTGTGTATCGGCATATTATTGATCAAATATTGGAAAAATTGCTGTTACTCTTCGTTACACGGATAATATCTCAGATTAAAGAATTTAATACCGCATCCGCTCCTCACGACGGAGTCGACTCGCTGTTCAACTTTCCCCTTCACACTCTTTTCCTTTTATTACCGTAACAACGATAGATCGAATCTCCCACGGCTTTTCGATCAGCCCGCTGAAAGCCGGATGCGGGCGCATACGCGGTCGTTTCTTCCGTTCGCACCCGGCCTCGGCAAGGCTGGCCGGATAGTTACATTCACTTTGCCGGAGCGAAACGAGCGGGTCTCCGTGTGCAATATGCGTGAAGTGTACGCGCGTACGCACGTCGTACGGACGCGTACGTCGACATCCGGGGTCGGCCCGACGCTTAATGAACGATCAAACCCGGTTCTACGCGTCGCGCGGCGCGCAGCCCGTCATTACCGAGCGGCGAGCTACCGCAGCGATGAGGAGCCTCGTCCTTTTCCTTTTTGTCTTCTTTTCTCGTTTCATACGCCCGACTTTTCCTCCGCGACCTCGCGTGACGAGCCGCTGAATGAAGGATGATTCTATTTTTCCGCCACGCACGAATCATCTCCGGGATCCTGGCAATCTTGCTGAGTCAAGCGATTTCAATAAGCGCCGCGAGCGATCCCATCTCGCTTACGAAATAAAAAAATGCTTCGATTTTTCATTTCCACCGCTAATGAAATGTGTACCGTGCATCCAACGGAAACGTGTCGTAACTTTGAACAGTTATAATTTTATAATGAAAATTATCGTAAGTATTTTCAATTTTTTGATTAGAGGAACTAAACATTGTAGTAGCATTATCGCGCAAACATTTCTCCAAAATAATTTATCTAATTTTACAAGAACTGATGTTTTACGATAACAAAATGGAATATAAAATTATTTCAGAACAGATGATAGCTATCATTCTTCCGAAAAGCATATGTGATATAAGATCGTAACGTAACATACGTGACATATTGTTCGTTACTATCGTCATTAATTATCACTGGTTTACGATAACGATTTATTGTCGTCTAGTTTATTATGCCCGTAGTAGATAACGATAATTGTAATTGACTTCAACGGTCGTGAGAGATGGCTCGAAGGAAGATCGGAACAACCATAACGATATACAGTATAAATACCGTTAATGCGATCACTATCGACTGTGACTGATTACACAAAATAATTTAAATTGTAGTCAAGCAAGTAGCTATTAGTTAAAAATTCTTGGAGCGATCAAACTTTTCTTCTCCGTATCATACCGTCAAAGAAAATAATATCCCATATATTTATATCCTAAAAAATAAAATAAAGAATCATCAAGTTGGTCTAGTTGAGAAAATAAAGTAGATGAGTAACTTTAAAAGGTGTCGTATAAAAGT